CACCGCTCTACTAAGGCAGAAATAAGGTCTGGTTCTATCTTACAGTGACCCTGATATCTACCTATGTAACCAAATCCAGCCTCTACTAAATACGACAAGACACGACTATGTATCACTAACTTAAGATTCCTAATAAAAGGATCTAATACACGGTCATTCTCCTAAAAATAAATAATTACAAAAATTAATTCTTAATCTAATAATCATGCATTAAATAAATCAACTAATTATTACTAATAATTTAAATTAAATTGAAACGTTAAAATGTTACCGTATCAGCAAAGTGTCGAGATATATGATTTCCATCTAAGCGAAATAGAGTGCCTTTCATTATATATCTGTAAAAGAATTATATTAGTAAAATATTAAATAAAGTAAAATACTTAAATAAATTAAATACATAATATTAAAAATATTATAAAATATACCTTAAACAGAGAGATTATTTGAGAGAAATTGAGAGAATTTGTCGTGCTGAAAGTGATTGAGGATTGAGGTATTTATAAGGAGGATTGGGGTGTAGACGGGTGGGTAATTAAAGGTATAGCGCGCCCCCTGTACCACGCTATACCCCACGTGTCAGATAACTAGGTATAGCGCGGCCTCTGATCCGTTCTATACCCCTACGTGACGTATAGCGCGAATCAGGGGTCGCGCTATACCCACATGTAACCCATGTCAGCGTATAGCGCGGGACAGGGGCGCGTTATACCCCACGTGGCGCTAAATCAATATATAACGCGAGACAGGAGGCGCATTTTACTGCTACGGGTATTAGATCGAGAAATATAATCTAATCAGTATTAGATCGATAAATATACCGATCACCGGTGATTTTTGAGGAGAACACCGTAATAGAATAGAAGGACTAAAATCGTTTCTATATTTGGGTTTTGATGGGAGTTTTTGGTGCAGTGTTGATGGGACTTTTATCACTTCATTTGCAGTAAATGAGATAACGTGATCCTAATGATTTTTCAGAAGATTAAATTCCATTAACTTCCTTTTATTATTTGATTGGACTACTGTGACTGACACACTATAATATGGTATATTTAATTGCCTCATTCACAGTCGAGGAATAATAATTATGTTTTGATCCATTAAGTTCATACTATCTTCATCCATGTGAGCAAAACCTTTGACAGCAGCAGTTTCTGGATGTTCACTGTTGTTGGTGTGTGGGGCAAGTTTAGGTATTATTATTACCTGTGTCCGCATCAACTTGGGTTTCATGTGAACTCAAAGGCATTATGCAGATTGCAATATATAAGAGAGAGTTCGAGGGGCTTGTGTTGCCGTTCAAAGGAGGGGAGACCGGAGACCGGAGACGCGGTGCCCAACGTTGCTGGGAATGGGTGAAAGAGGAGAGATTAAAAAGCAAGGAATTGCGTGGCCGTCAGCTTGGAATGCAGGCGTTACTTCCTGCTGACCTCATCATCCCCAGTTGCCCGTACAGTTCCCCAACTCTGTTCTATGAATTCCCATCCAACAAGGCCTTCCATCTCACACTTTAATCTATTTGTTTTTCTCCAACATTAAAATAAAAATCAGGTGGCTTAATTTATTGGCAAAAATGTTGAGATAGCTTTGAAAAAAAAATGGCTGATATGAGGCAGTGAAAAAAAAATCAAATTTTGATGTAGGAAAAATATGGTGAAAGGGAGGAAGTTGATCAGATCAGTCTACGTTTAGGAGAAATTAATCGGAACACTCGACGTCTTTAGATTCTTCATTTTCGACAACACCCAATGCCCTTATCTTCTGGTCTTCAAGAGACCAACCGTAATGTCGTAGTCGGCTACACCTACAACAGAGATGGAGAATTGTCAGGTGTTCCGCCGGATAATACTTTAAAAGTGGAGATGAAAGTTTCAAAACACAGAATATTCCGACTGGCTTCCGACGTTGACTTATCTAAATCAAAAAATATTTTCTCCAACACTCTACAGAATAGATTTTTTTTCGTCACCTCATCTAACTATTTTTGCCTTTTATTTATTAAAATATATCTTCAAAATATGATTTTATCTAAATATTACTTATTAAAAATTAATTTCATGAATTATCTTTTTCATTGGCAAGTTGTTAATCTTTTTTTATGAACAACCACGGTTAATTGTCTGACTCTCGATATTCTTTATGTCTTTTTATTTATTTTTATTTTTTTATAATTTTATTTATAATGAATGTTTTCATTTGTCTTTATGACATTTTTTTTTTGTACATTTTGGTATGTGTTTTGGTTGTTTGACAGTTGTTTTCATTTATTTTTTTCTTCTAAGGGTTGATTTAACATCGTTAAGATTTATCAAGATTAAACTTATCTGTTATATTGTTGATCTTTCCTGTTTTGGATCATCATATTGGATTTGGATACCTGTTATACGTTCGTAGATAGCTTTTCAATCTCTTGAGTCTTATTTACGGTTTGTCCCTATTTTGTGGTACATTTATCGATGCGATCAGATCTATTTGTATTTATCTTTGTTCGAGTTTTCTTGATAAGATTTTAATATTTTCTTGTATGGTTATTTTGTGATCTTAAGTTGTTAGTTTTGTTTCAATGATTATAGGAAATTATATTGATTATGTGTTTAATTTACTATTATGTTATAATTTATAATATTTTCTATTTAAAATAAAATTATTGATTTCTATTAAAAAATTAATTACATATGTAACATTTTTAATAATTTTTATATTGCCATCTTTTTTCATTACATACAATAACGATGCTTTATAAAGAGGAATGTCTTTGTTTTATGTGACTGTACAATCAATAACTTCTTTGTTTTTAGGAAAAACTCTCATAATTTTCTCATTTTTGATAGTTTTTTCTTATTGGTAGATCTTTGTGGTACATTTTCCTCAATCTTTGTGGTATTTTTTTTACTATTTTTATAGTATATTTTTTTTATCTTTTGACATTTTTTGGTTTTTAGCAGTTGTTTTTATTTTTTAAGGGTTGATTAAACATCGCATCGATCGATTAAGATGGTATTTATCTGTTATATTGTTGATCTTCCTTACTTTGGACCATCAGATTGGATTTGAATACCTGTTTAAGCATTTATGGATAACTTTTCACGTCGCTCAAGTCTGATTTGCGGTTTGCTGGTGGTCTTTCAGTAGCTTGATGCGATCAGATCTGTTTGTATCTAATTTTGTTCGAGTTTTCTTGGTTGGATTTTAATCTTTCCTTATATGATCCTTATGTGATATTAAGTTGCTAGTTTTGTTTCAATGATCATAAGAAATTATCCTAATCATATGCTTAATTTACGATTGTGATTTTAAATCTTGATAATAATTTAGGATATTTACTATTTCGAAAAAAAATTGATGATTTATTTTAAAAAATAACTTCTTTGTTTTTAAATAGGCAAAAACTATATTTTATCATGTTTTATTTGTTGCTTGAGTATATGATATAAATAAATGTTAATAAATTATTAATTTTGCTGATTAAAATTATATCATATTATTGTTTTATTTTAATAAAAATAATACATTAAGTGTTTTTATAAAAGAGAATAACTAAATAACCTTAGGTGATAGATGCAGACACCATTAAAGATAATTTTTATATACAATTACTTGACAAAAACAAATTCGTGCATATCACATTTATGTTTTTCCTTTTATAAAGTAGGGATTTATTCGTCTTTTATTAATATATATTTTTTAAATTTAGGATTATATTAGGATTCTAAATGTTGTATCTAATATTAATTTTACTGTTATTATAAAAAAATGTTATTTTACCCCCAAAAAAATAGAGAATAGAGAAAAAACTAAAGGGTAAATTTCATATTTAGTCACCCACGTATTATTTTGATTATGTTTTGGTTACCAAATTATTTTTTTTCAAAATCATATTTAATGTTATGTTTTGGTCACTCATCGTTAAAAAATTAATTATGATACTAAATGTCACTATAATATAATGTTATATTATTATAATTAAAAACTAAAAAAATTATCACATCAATAATTTTATTTATTTTTTAATAATGATGATCAAAATATAATATCAAATATAATTAAAAAAAAGTAATTGAGTGAACCAGAACATAACACGAAATAAGTTGGACTTTTATACGTAGTTTACCGAAAAACAAATTTAAAAGGGTTGTTACTTACGAGGTTGCATTATTAAAGGTGTCTTTATCTTAAAGCAATGACTACAATTATCCTAATTAAGTAAGGCCGGTTCATCTAAAACCCACCCCCACGTAGTTTAGCTATAACTTTCAAGCATGAAAAATTAGGTTAAAGATGGACCCTACCAGGGGACATAGGAATTCAACACTTGAAGATTCAGTCTTTCAATTCAAAGCACATTTCTCTTTTCTTTTTCCCACAATTATTATCCCCTCAAAGGTTCTTTCTTTTCTAATGAATATTTTTTCTTACTGGTGAAAATTCATATATTTGAGATCTCACATCTTAACAACACCAGCGATATCTTGAAATAGGTAACTTAAGTTATGGATAATAACAAGTTATAATACGTCTTATTTTTCTTTTCTTAAAAACTAATTATTACTCCATTGTTAGAAACTTAGGGTAGCTGTTGGATCTTGTTCTTGATCGGTGGATGTTGAGTTTGGTCTTATTTTTCTCAGTTTGTGGGGCTTCATTCTTCATGACATCTTGATTTAAAAAAATGTTTATATATATACCACTTAGGCGAAAAATATAAGCTAAAGATTCTGTAATCTTGATGTTATTTTCTTAGATCTTAAGCTTTAAAAAGTAGGGTGTTTTTCAATAGAGCTTGCAACTGACGGGGGTTTCGTCGGCTTTGAGGAATTAGGGTTTATATTCCGGAGGTTGACGTGAAGCTTGTGATTTCCATTTACATGTACTTTTTGCAGTGTAGGCTTTAGCTGATTTCTCTCTTATATATATATATATATATACATAAAAACTTTAACTTTCTTTCACCACTGTGCTTTCTTTATCTCTTTCTTTCCTTTCAATCTGTTCTCTGTGTTTTTGATTTGTTTCCTTTCAATCTGTTTTATATTCGTTGTTTTGTTTTGTATCTCCAGATTGTTGAACTTGACGAGCTGCTTGGTTTCATTTACCTCTTAAAAGCTAGCTTTGCATGAGTTTGGTTATGGATACGAGCAAGTTCAAACCTGAATCTCATGTAGCACAACAAGCAGGCGAGAAAAGTTGAGGGTTCACCATTTTTGAGGATTTCCCCAATAGTTTGGAGCAAGACTCCTCGGTCCATTCGGGGCTAAACTCAGATCTTGTTCAAGTTCGTAATCTTAGGAATGCTAAGATGCTTCACGAGCCAACTATTGTTTACTCAGGTATCATCCGTGTTCCGCCACAGGAAAATGCTTCTGCTAAAGTCTCTGGTGACCCACCAAGTTGTGGAAATCTGATGGTGGGTTATGCAAGTGGATTAGGTGGCAGGGAAAACAATCAAAACCCTATGTTTATTGGGGAGGTGCTGTCAAATAATGCAAGGGAAAGCAACGAATGTGCAGCTATGCAGTATTTTGGGACTGGGAGTGACATTTGTAGACAGGATAGCAAAAGGCATTGTGGGGAATTGCAGTTTGTTCATCTTCACTTTATGATGTTGCCACAGCTTCTGTGGGTACTCAGGCTAGTGCTTTGCATTTTGATAACGCTGGTGCTTGGACGAATAGGCCGCTATTAGAGCACTGTCCACAGTGGGGTGAAACTTCAAGTACTATCCAAGGGCTCTCTCTAGCTCTTTCGTCGAATCCTTCGTCGAAAATTTATGGTGCGGCTCAATTCACAGAGGACCAGCGTGGTTCTCAGCATGCCTTCAAGGAACCTCATCGTGATTCAAAAGCTTTAAAGCTGGCCATTTGTTTTCGATGCAGAAGCCGTCTATAATCAGTAAAAGTAGCGGAAATTCAACTTACGTTCACCCCCTTGGTCCATTCACCGGATATGCAACTATTCTCAAGAATTCAAGGTTCTTAAACCAGCACAAGAACTATTGGGTCAATACTGTCATATGACCAACTCAAAGCTTGGTAAAGTTCACGAGACATCCGATGGGGTCTCCAATAGCATCGGTGTTTCAGCCTCGGTTGCTGTTGCCAATGCAGTTGATATGGAAGATGGAGCTATTAAGGGAAATAACTCCGGGGCTTCGGTCTCTGGTCTTTGCAGTTCTAATGAAATTAGTACAGTTGATGTTAGCGTTGGGGGCAGCTCTGAGTACCAACAAAAGAAGGCAAAGCTTTTATATTGCAGGATGAGGTTGGTCATCATTTCTTCTTCTTCTCATTTATACATTGCTATTTAATTCTTATCTGCATTTTTTTTAATGAACGTTAATGAAGGAAACTATCACGTATGTTTATTTTGAAGTTATTTTAACATTAATAAAGACCCGAAGATGAATGAAATTTAAGTCATTTTGAAACAGCAGTTAGACGCTGGATATCAGTTACTCTTCGTCTCTGTATATACCTTCAAACCAAAATTACATCTCAATTAAAAGTGATGACCACACTTTCAAATCTACTTTATTTAAAAGTTTAAACCCGAATAAGTTGTCCTCTTGCCTTTGATGAAGGACCCATTGTAGGTTGACATAACAGGCTATGCATATCTGTATTACTATTTATTTTCCCAACTTGGCCAACTTCTTTGATCAATAAGTGAATACTACAGTGAAATCACTGTTCTTACATCGTGTTTCCTTGTGAACCATTATTGTTTTTGGACCTAATCCTAATAGCATCAATCTTCATCAAGATAATTGATTGTGTTCTTTGTCTTACTGTTTTACTCTAATGAGAACTTGTATATGCCGTGCAATTGAAAGGTTTGCAGACGATACAAGCTATATTATCAGCAGATGCAAATGGTGGTTTCGTCTTTCGAATCTGTAGATTGTCTAAGTGTTGCAACTCCATACATTTCCTTGGCTCTTAAGACAGTAGAAAGGAACTTTCGGTGCCTAAGGAACGCTATCTCGGACCGTGTCAGGCATTTATCTAGAACCCTTAGGGAGGATTTATTGTCCCCAACTACCGGTGCTAGCAGTAGCAAAGGTGATATAAATATATCTAGGATGAAATATGGGGTTCAGAAATCTGGTGGGGTTAACACGGGCTTCCTTGAACCTCAACAAGAAGGCTGGAGGCCCCAAAGAGGCCTACCGGAACGTGCAGTGGCAATTCTTAGAGCTTGGCTCTTGAGCATTTTCTTCATCCGTAAATCAACTTCTCTTCCTTAGCATTTCATTATGTCCTGTAATATAATTTGGTGTGAATTTCTGTATCTACTTTCTTATAGGTACCCCACAGACACGGATAAGCACATGTTGGCAAATCGAACCGGTCTTGCTCGAAACCAGGTGAGCTCACTGCTTCCTGTTTTGTGGTCTAAAGTATTTGGCCTAACGATTCTGTGTGATTGAATTGGAATGTAGCACAGTTAAGTGTTTGATTGGCTTGTTTTCATGATTTCAACAATTTGATTTCTGAATGCAGGTTTCTAACTGGTTCATAAACGCTCGAGTTCGAGTTTGGAAACCGATGGTTGAAGAAATACACATGCTTGAGAGCAAAGGCTTGGAAGCAAGCAATCAGAACTCTATCAAAACTGATACAAAATCTACTACTGCCATAACCATTCGGCCCAATGAAGAACATCTATCAACAGCTCATGTATAACACAACATCCGACAAGCAATTGGCTTGCTCAAACATGGCTATTGCTGGGATTACGGAAGGTGCCTATGACGCTGAACGCCGGTATCACGAGAAACACTCTAGTATGGATTTTCGTATCTCATCAAGCATGGACGGCTCATTGATTAGTTTTACACCTCACGACCAAAGCAGGCTTGAGACGGGTGGCCTTGGAGCTGTGTCACTTACCTTGGGTCTCAAGCATGGAGTAGAAAGTGCAGAAGTCTTCCAACATCAGCTACAATATCAGCCACACGAGTACCAACTTCGGGGACAGTTCGGAGGCCGAATGATTCACGAATTTGTTGGTTGAGCTTATGTTCGATCGTACTGAAGTTGAAATGAGTGGAGTGGGCAGCTAGCCTAGCTATTCCTTACGATAAATTTTCAAAATGTGACAATTACTAATACACGGTTGCAGGCCACCTTGACCGTATACGAACATGTTTGTTTTGAGGGTTGGAAAGATTGACATCCTTAGATATACCCCGAAACTACAAATTCTCAATATAAATTTGGGAACATTCTGCTGGTTCTATCGGTCTTTATTCAAGCTACACGTACAGAAAATAATTATATTATAACTATGTTTAGATGTAGAAAAACCATGCAGTATAACCGGTTAATTCCCATATTATTGATCATCCCATTAATTTTACCCACTTCCATCTCCATCGCCACCAGGGTAGTTAAAATTCTCCCTAGGAATGTAATGGTGGTTGTTCACGCTGCTTTCTTTAGGATACCCACTTTTGGCTTTGCCTAGAAGCCGCCGGCTGTCAACAATGGTGCGTTCATGCTCCGGTACATCCTCTTTTATAACCTTTGCTGTCAAGCAGGAACTCTCCATCAATATGCTAAAGCAAGAGCCACAAGCCTAATTTTTGCACCCATTAATTGCTTTCACCTGTCTAAAAAATGAACCAAATAAGTAGAGCAAAAGAATCAAGTATCTGAGTAGCAGAACCTTATATAAGGAGAAAGGATGGAGTTCATGTCATTGATATTGTAGATACCCGTTTTTGTCCACGTTCTACTTCTTAAATAATAATAATAATTATTCTTATTTTTAATTTTATTAATATTATTACATTATTGCATGCCTAAATTACAAAGCCCAAACAACCCAAATGGAACCCAAATTACAACCTGAAGCCCACAAGGACACAACCCAACAGTACACTAATCAACCCAACTCGGCCCAAGATCTGACCCGAATGACCCAACAGCCCACCAGGAAATCAACCCGACCCGGTTCAGGCCCAGCACCAGGCCAAGCACTCAACCCAAACCCGTTAGGGTTCCCACATTAGCTGCCAACCGCCCCAATCTCAACCCTTGGATCTGGACCCATCCAACGGTCTAGATCACCTAAGGGTTAGGGTTTTAAACCCTAAACATATCAATAGCCACCGCCATCAAGGAATATAGACTGTCCGCTCGGCGCGTGAGATGCACACGCTCATCCAGCCAGTGCGTGAGCTTCACCGCCCTACTCCCTAGCCGCGTGAGCCGCCGCCATCATCATCAACGTACCCAAAATAGTGCAAAATATAAAACCCCATCAGTCAAAATTAACCAAGTCAGAACCTAATCTGAAAACCATTTTTAAAATGTCAATAATCCCAAAAAATTGAGGTTTACCTACCGAATCAATCAGAAAACCATACCATATGTAGAGATATCATCATTCTCTACCCAAACCATCACCACATATAACATGCAACCAAAAACAAAAGAGGTAGAGAACATTCGTGTAACATCCCAAAAGTCGGGTCAATGACCAAAATGGAGTTTTTGGTAATTTAGTGACCAATCTCAGAAAGATTAAAAGTTTAGGGATTTTAATGAAAAAATATTGGTGTTGGATTTAATAACAAAGTTTGGAAGTAATAAGGGTATTATAGTTATTTCTCAGGAAAGATTTTATTTCCCTTTATAAAGGGTAATAAGCACGTGGGAAATGAGAGAATTCTCCAGAGCTTTCTTTCTTTCTTCTTCTTCTCCAGCCGTGAGCTTCAAGAGATAAGGTGAGTTTTATGAACTCTTGATTATTTGTGGAATTAAAGGTTGGGTTTTGATCATTAGATAATAATTAAGCTTAAGGAAACTTAAGTTATCTTAGAAATTAAAACATAAAGGAGTTACGAAAGATTAAAGAAAATGAGTTTCAAAGTGAATTTCTGAAAAAGAGTTAATAAATGAATGTGGTGATGGTGTTTAACTTGTCATAGGTGTGAATAAGAAGTTATAAGTGTTAAATCAAAGTTTGGATAACATGGAAAATTGGGAATGATTCTTAATTTTAAGAATCATGAAGAGATATGAAAGATAAAGATAGCTTATATGGATATAAGTTGGTTTATAAAGTGGTAGTTGAGTTTAATGACATGTTAGGGGCTTAAAATAGAAGAATTGAGTGAAGAGTTGATGATTTTCGGGCTTGAATAAAATTTCTGGGCATGATGCATCGGTACACATTCAATATGTATCGATGCACTCTTAAAAGAAGAACACTGAATACCTGGAATGCATCGATGCAGTTTGAGTATGCACCGATGCACCAAGACAAATTTTGAAGGTGCATCGATGCATTAAGGGGATGCATCGATGCATGAAAATTCGAAGCCATTTTGTGAATCGATGCACCCCTAAGGAAAAATGTGAATATGAGTTTATTAAGTTCGTTTAAGTTGCTAGTATCAAATTACAAGGTGTATGTATCTAATAATTGTCTTGAAAATGTATAATTATGTAGATTCAGAGTCTGAACGAGTTCCGGAATCATTGTCAAGTAAGATCGATCAAAGGGAAAGATAAGATATTGTAATTGACTAGTGAGGCCAGGTGAGTGCATATTCAATAGTATATGATGGGTGATGGGAAGAAGACTTGCGATGAGTCTATTTCCTGAAGAGTTACATATGAATTCATGATTAAAGGTATAAGTTGAATATGAGTGTATGTATGCTTGATTATATGAATTGATATGGTTTGTATGTGCTATGTGGTTTATGTACACACACTAGTAAGTGTTAATGAGAGAATATCAAATAAGTTATGAAATTATATGAATATAGAAGATAAGTCAAGAGATATATGGAAATGGAAATAAAGGTTTATGAAGAATCATAGGAGAATAAATATAAGTAATAAGATAATGAAATATAAGACTACGTGAAATACATGGTTATGAGAATTAGTAAAATAGAGTTATTTGATTTAATGAGAATTGAGGAAACTAAATAAGATTGAATTATAGAATGGAATGAGAATAATATATCTATTAGGGAACTTGAATATAAAGCGATGATATATATACATATATGATAAATTATATGCTAAAGATTTATGGAATTATATGCTAAAGATCTATGGGGTTATATGAAAAGGTTATAAGGAATGTATGAAAATTGAATTAATTAAATGGATTAAAGTAGTATATAAATAAAATATGATTAAGTGTAATATATATGTTTAGAAATACGACATAAGTTATATAATCTAAGGGAATATAAAGAAATAAAGCATAAAGTAGACGAAATGAGATAAGTTATTATATACCTATATGATATACGTTATCAGTAATATGAAAGGATTCAGGAAACTTATATAAGCTATGTGAAGTTATCTAGGTGTTTATATGTGAATTATTTGGTAATAAGTTATATGAAATAAGTGTAGTGATTACCAGATCATAAGAGATAAGTCAGAGAATGTGAATAATATGACCAGAAACTATGAGTCTGTGTGATGAAATGAATATACGAAGACATGACTATGAGATATGTGATAAGAAGTTATGATTAAATGATCAAGAGATATAAGCTAAGGGATATCTGTGAATTACATGAAAATGTGCTATGTGTAAGTGAACTACGTGATTACATGTATGTGTGAATGAAGCTACGAGCTTATATGAATATGTGATATGTTTACATGAATATGTGCAAGGATATAAAAGATAGTGTCCATGTTATGTGTCTTGAGAGCTTTGGGGTATAGTTGGCATGCCAAGAGTCGAGGGTCTACGCGGTCCTTCGGGGCATATAGGTATCATATGGAACATCTATGAGGTCCTTTGCGACACATATTTGGCCATTAGCATATGTATATGATTCTTAAGGAATTTTCTACGCGGTTCTTCGGGATATATATATATATTCTTTGGAACATGTGTGAAGTCTTGTGAGACACATACTTGATCCCTAGTATATGTATATGATTCTTAAGGAATGATATATGGTCCTTATGGACATTATTATATGGCACTTCGGTGCAATTCTACGCGGCACTCCGGTGCAAGTCTACGTGGCACTTCGGTGCAATTATACGAGCTGTGGTGACAGCATTAATGCACAACCTCTATAGACTCACATACCTATAGTTCTCACATACGTCCATGGGCTAATCAGGAGATAATAATAAATATATGTTTGTGATATGATAAATGTTGTGTGTGTGTATATTGTTTGATTAAGGGGTTAAGTATAAAAGTATGTGATTAAAAGATAAACTGTTGATGATGCTTTATGTGTATGTAGGTATATTTTGTTAAGTAATCTGATATGATTTTGTATGCTATAATGAAATAAGGTGATTTAGTATAGCATGATAGAATGAAACATGCATGCATTGTTAAATGTTATCAAGTGCATTATAATTTTTATTTGCCTCACTAAGTCATCGACTTAGCATGTGAGTGTTTCACACGTAGGTTTCGGAAAGCTAGAAGAATATCTAAGAGAGCAAGACAGGTCAGCATCTCCCTTACAAATTTCAGATAAGAAAATAGATGATTTAAATGATTTTTGGTTATTTTGAATATAATTGGCATGTACTAAAGAATTGAGTTAATATGCTCTGATTAATTTTAGTTATTGTGGTCAAGTTATGTAAATAAATTGTTTTTACTTTAATTAAAGCTTTAAATATTCTTTGAATTTTGTCAGGAGTCAAAGTTTGAAAAGTCAATGTGACAC